CAATATCAGCAGATTCTGGAGACCAATGTCCAGGAATCAGTGACAAAGYTGAAGCWGCTGAAGCCGGGGCTGCATCTTCCAACAAGACAACAACCCTAAACACGGCTCATAATCTAAGGCATTCATGCAGAGGAACAAGTACAACGTTCTGGAATGACCATCTCAGTCCCCAGACCTGAATATTATTGAAAACATTTGGTGTCACTTAAAGACAGCTGTCCATTCTCAGAAACCATCAAACCTGAATGAACTAGAGATGTTTTGTAAAGAAGAATGGTCTAAAATACCTTCAGCCACAATCCAGACTCTCATTAGAAGCTGTAGGAAGTGTTTATAGACTATTTCTGTGAAAGGAGGATCTACTAAATATTGAGTTAAGGTTTTTTATGGTGCCCAAATTTATGCACCTCCCTAATTTTGTTTAAACAATTATTGCACACTTTCTGTAAATCATATAAACTCACTGTGTTTGTCCCCTATATCATATATTTGACTGTTTTTTTATCCAAACAATCAATGATTTATAAAGCTAAATCAGGAAAATTAACAAGGCTGCCCAAACTTTCACACCCCACTGTAAGAAGCTATTGACTGTAAAGAAAATGACAGACTTAAACATTTTGATTAGTTTTACTTTTGTTTCTGTTTAAGCACACCTTCTCTTCATGTTTGTTCTCCCTGTGCAGATGGAGTCTGGAGGTACAGTCCTGAGTACCAACTGGGGTGATGTGGGCAGGAGAAAGGTGGATGTGAGCCCACCAGATGATGCAGAATTCAAGAAGTACTGAGCACGCCCCCTCACCTTTTTCTGTCCCATCCAGTTGTCATTTTGTTGTTCTGTGTCTGTGTGGCGGTTCACTTCTTCGCCTTTTTCTTTCTACCGTCTCCACCCAAAAGCCCCACACTGCCTACTCTCTACAAAAGCTTCTCACCAGAAGGGCTCAGTTTGAATAATCTGTTGATCGGATTGATTGAAGGACAGTGGACTCGACAAAGGAATATGAATGTGACCTGAAATTCAGTCTTTAAATTCAACATAATTTTTTATTTTTCTCAAAACAGACACAGCCTTTTTGTTTGGAAGCCTTTCATAATTTGCCATACACATTGTAAAAAAAATGTACAAAAAAAAAACATAGGATAAGAATCTGACATGTTTATTAACTCTTTTTGAATGTTTTTTTTTTCTTTTCTGATACTTTTTGTCTGTAAAGACTCAGCAGTACTCTGCAAGCTTGGCTAGTCTTTTCCTGGGTATGACTAAAAGTTCAGTGTAAATAAAAGAAATGATGTTCGGCTCTAAAACTTTGTCCTGTCCTTTTTATGGTTTGTTGAGTCTGGTTTTGTGCAGGTTGGAGGAAAAAAAAATCCCTCAGACACAAAAATGGCAGTAAATTAGGACGGGGGAGCCGTGCTCTGAGATTACGTGCCGGGAGCGATAAAATGTGGTGTTACTGATACGGGAGCAGGCAGGTTGGAGATACGGCTGACAGCTTGAGGAGATGGTTTACTCGCGGTACGATTGGTATCGAGGGGAAGGAGCCCCGAGTTGTTTGGCCAAAGGAGGGTGTGGGACGTCTCCTCTCCAGATTCATACTGTACACGAGGCAGCTGCAGCTGTGAGGGGGTGTCCTGCCGAGGCAGGAGAGCATTAATATGGATCAGCCTCCCTAACCACATCATCAAGCCTCTCACACTGAGTTAAGTGTTAAATTCATCACACGTCGTTTCATCTCTGGTGATGATCAAACAGCCATTTGTGGCTCTGGATGGAACCCTTAGCTTCGTGACACTTAACTCTTCAGCGCACACGCTCGCTCCTTCAGCATCCCCGACACACACACAAACACACCGCCCCCATCTTTACCCCCTACCCCTGCCCAAGGCAACTCCGCCACATCAAAAGCAGCTAAGCGCTTTGCATCGTGGGTAAGATCTGGGAGCGTGACGGCTGTGGAGTCTTTAGTCTCATTAAAAGAGTTCTAGAGCCGCGGCTCACACATTAAAGAACTCTGGAAACTTCTTCCCGCTCAGCCGCTTTTGGAGCAGCGACCAGTTTTGACGCCTTGCTGAAAAGAAAAGAGGTCATTCCCACATGATCTCAACAAAACAAGCAAAACAGAAACAAATCACATGTGCGCTCGTTTAATGTGTACTAGAATAAACAGACCAACACTGAAGTGTGTTTTAAAGTTTTATACCATGGTGTTGCACTTCTAGATCACTTCTTTCATGCAGATTAAAACAATCAGTTAAACCCTTCTGAAATTAAATCAATTGGAATCTATATACATGTATGACAATTTGAAGTGCCTGTGACATGCATTTACTTGTACAAAAAGCCAAAAAACATTTATATTTAAGAAAATTGCCCTAATACACACAATTTTACCCATTTTGTCACATAACTGGCCTTTTTTCTTTTGATTTTGGCTTAGCCAAAATAAGACAGGAAGTGACATCAAAGGGGAACTCATTAATAAAATAAAATCTTTGGTCTTTGTGTATTAAAACAATATCATTTAAGCATTAACTCTTCATCTCTCTTTGATAGTGACACAAAATAATGTAAAGAAACATCAGATTCTTCTCTACAGTCCGTGTTGTTAGCCGTTGTACAATCATCTGTTTACATGCAGACATTCCCCTTTGACATCACTTCCTGTTTCTTCACATGCAAATATCTCAACAACTGTTCATCTCAGCTGTGTGAAATTTGTTTTACAATATGTTATCAATGTTATCTTTCCAAAAATGTATCCATGTTTATCTCAACAACTTGATGTCACAGGCACTTTAAACAAAACGAGAGGCTGATTATCAGCTACATGGATAAAAGTTTAGATGTTTTTCTTTCAATGCATTTATTTTGAGGAAACCAACAACATGGAGCTCCTTATATTTTCTTTACAGCACGTTTTGTTCTAGTTTATAAAACCTAAATCAATAGCTGCTGTGTGTGATTTTAATTTAACAAGCTATGAACATTACTAATGCAGTTCTGTTTGTAGAAATCTGCTCAGATTTGGCTAAACCTACAATTAATCTGTCTTTCCGTGAAACGCCATCCCTCCGTCTGGGCTTCACTCATCAGGTGAGTTGAGACTCATACCAGGCCCAGAATGCGTGCCACCCACCACTTGCAGGGCATGATAACCCTGCAGGCCACCCTGCAGCCTCTGAAATGGTACGGGTATGGGTAGTACCCCCCCAGTGGCTCGCAGATCCTCTGGCAGTGGGTGTAGCTGCGACGACACTCGTTGCAACACACGCCCTGGTGGTCCAGCATGGGGTCAATGTCCATGGTGTCCTGCTCGCCCTCCAGTCCTCGCTGGGGGGAGGGAAGACAGCCGTTAGGTTCAAGTAAAAGGACAACACACAGTCATGAGTACAACTTAACCAAATCATTAACCCATAAGAACAGTAATATCAGCGTGGGATTTAGGTTTTTATCATGACAATAAAAATGGATCTGGGTCCTAAAGAGTTAAAATGTGCCATATTTGTTCATACAGGCTAATTTTTTATTTGTAGTTCCTGACAACTGATGGTAAACGATAATGTAATATTTACAAACAAGCTAAGAACTGGAACACAAACAAAATTACGTGATCTTGGATTTTTAAAAAGCACAAGATTAGAAAACTAAGTTTATTAAAATTCCGGGTGTCAAATTCATTTTCACAGAGGGCCACATGAGCTTTATGGTGGCCCTCGAAGGGCCACTTGTAATGAACTTTAACGTTTCATGTTTAACTTTGTCTAAACAGAGTTTTAACACGTCCTCTTTTAAACACTGATAAGAACTAAGTGTACGACTGACTAAATCCAAAATAAATATTACACAAATAATATTAAAATGAAAACGAATAGAGTTTTACTCAATGAGTTTCTAGTGGGTAGCTGCCATCTTGAATTCTGAACCCTCCCACTTTCATTTTGTTGCATTTAATCATAAATTTAAAGTAAAAAAAAACAATTTTCAAATTATGACTCCTCCCCAGCGGGCCAGACGAGAGTCCACGGGCGTTGAGTTGAGTTTGACACATACTATAGTATGATTTGGACATGTTTTCCCCAACACTTTTTTTTTCTATTGCCTTTACACTGCCTGGCCAAAAAACAGTCACCACCTGGATTTAACTAAACAAATAGGTACGAGCCTCCTGTTGGATAATTACTGCTGGGTGATTATCTTTTAGTTGGCAACAAGTTATTTAACCCAACTGGTGCAATGAGTTGCTTCTCATTTCTTAAACAACCATGTAGAAAGACACATCCTGTGGTCGTGGAAAAGCTGTCAGTCTGTTTGAAAAGGCTCAAATCACTGGCATCAAGCAGAGAAAACATTTAAGGAGATTGTAGAAACTGCTAAAATTGAGAACTGTCAAACGCATTGTTAAAAACTGGAAGGATAGTGGACCCATCGTCTTCAAGGATGCACCCATCATGCATAGTGCCTCTGTGCCTGTGGGGGCAGGGTAATGATGTGGGCTTGTTGCAGTTGGTCAGGTCTAGGAAGATTATTGAAACAATACCACAGTGAATGTGTGCCGTAATCAAAGCTAAAGGCAGTCCAGCGAAATATTAGAGTGAGTTTGCATGTTCTCTCCGTGCATGCGTGGGTTCGCTCCGGGTACTCCAGCTTACTCCCACAGACAAAAAACATGACTGTCTGGTAAATTGGTGACTCTAAATTGTCCCAATTTTTTTTTCCAGCATTGAGATAAACTTGAGTTTGAAACCCAGTCAGAGGTCCTGATCAGTGAATTTTCTGCAGCTTGCTCCTTGTTTTACGCATGTTGTATAGCGGATAAAATAAGTATTGAACACGTCACCATTTTTCTCAGTAAATATATTACTAGAGCTGCTAATGACATGAAATTTTCCCCAGATGTCGGTAACAACCCAAGTGACCCATACATGCAAAGAAATCAAACCACAAATGAAGTTGTTTGTAATAATGTGGAATGGCACAGGGAAAAAGTATTGAACACACTTACTGAAATTTATCTAATACTTTGTACAAAAGCCTTTGTTGTCAATGACAGCTTCAAGAYGCCTCCTGTATGGAGAAACTAGTGGCATGCATTGCTCAGGTGTGATTTTGGCCCATTCTTCCACACAAACAGTCTTCAAATCTTGAAGGTTTCGTGGACCTCTTCTATGAACTCTGATCTTTAGTTCTTTCCATAGATTTTCTGTTGGATTCAGGTCAGGTGATTGGCTGGGCCATTCCAGCAGCTTTAGTTTCTTTCTCTGAAACCAACTGAGAGTTTCCTTGGCTTTGTGTTTGGGCTCATTGTCTTGCTGAAATGTCCAGCCACGTTTCATCTTCATCATCCTGGTAGATGGAAGCAGATTTTTATCAAGAATGTCTCTGTACATTTTTCCATTCATCCTTCCAGCCTTGCGTGGTGAGCGTGCATACAGGCCATGGTGGTTCAGTGCATTACTTATTGTTTTCTTTGAAACAATCGTACCTGCTAATTCCAGGTCTTTCTGAAGCTCTCCACAAGTGGTCCTTGGCTCTTGGACAACTCTTCTGATAATTCTTTTCACTCCTCTGTCAGAAATCTTGTGAGGAGCACCTGGTCGTGGTCGGTTTATGGTGAAATAATGTTCTTTCCACTTCTGAATTATGGCCCCAACAGTGCTCACTGGAACCTTCAGAAGTTTAGACATTCTTCTGTAACCGATGCCATCATTATGCTTTGCAACAATAAGGTTGTGAAGGTCTTGAGAGAGCTCTTTACTTTTACCCATCATCAGATGGTTCTTGTGTGATACCTGGCCATCATTTGGGACTGAACCAGCTGATATTAACTTGCAACTGACAAGGGGCAGGCTTGCTTTCTAATWACTGAGAGAGTTCAGCTGGTGTCTTGGCTTTCCATGCCTTTTTACACCTCCCTTTCTTCATGTGTTCAATACTTTTTCCCTGTGCCATTCCACATTATTACAAATAACTTCATTTCTGGACATTTATGGTTTGATTTCTTTGTATGTATGGATCACTTGGGTTGTTACCRACATCTGGTGAAAATTTCATGTCATTAGCACCTCTAGTAATATATTTACTGAGAAAAATGGTGACGTGTTCAATACTTATTTTACCCGCTGTAACTGTCATTGGAGCACATAGGACACATTGTATTAGTTGAACAAATTTTCAAATGGCAAAACAAGGGTCCAAAAATAGCACATGGAGGTACACCATCACTCTCCACCCTTTCAGAACCACTGACACTGACTCAAATCAGCTGTTTTCATCACTTAAATATAATCGTTCCTATTTATTTACATTCACTGAAATAAAGTTTCATTCTGGCTGACTGACATGAAACACTTGCTTCAGATGAAAAATAAGGCTCTTCTTTAATCCACCCTTATCCTATTTAGCCTTGATGGAGATGAAGGAGAGAAACAAAATGCAATCTCAGTGGAACGTTTTTAAAACCCAAACTGCATAGAATCTAGTGAAAAGAAAGTAGCATGTAGGCGTGAAACTATCTGTTCTGAGAGGCTTTTTTTTTCAAGTCTTTTGACAGAATATGTGATGGGTCTATAATTACTAATAAGTGTGTTCAACAGATTTGAATACAGGGAAGATCACTGCATTTTCCAAGTACTAGAAACTTCCCTTCTCTAAGCAATCACTTTTGAAATAAGTGACTCCTCGTACAGTTTTCAAGCACTGTTCCAGCCATCCCACGTCTTTCCACTTTGAAGCCGTAAAGCAGGAGATACTCAATGATTTTTTTTATTAGTTACTTTTTAAAAATGTAGCTTGAAGTGGTGTGAAATGAACGGAAGAATTAGCAGAACCCACAGTGTTATAATACAGACTCATCATCCTGTATTTACAGTGAGAAGAGCTGATCTCAAAGCAATAAAATGTAGATTTTTACCATTAGTGTGCTGTTTACGCCTCTCTGTAGTTGTTTGGAGGAGGCTGCAGTCTAATGAGCTGAGAGGCACCATGGTGCTGAACCTTAGGGTGATTGTGTGTGTCTGTCTGTGTGTGTGTGCCGCAGAAGAGGAGTGGGGGTGTTGTGAAATTATTCACACAGACTCATTCCTGAAAGGAAAGCTTTAGACATCCCCAAGCAGAAAATGCATGTTCTCAGATGTGCTGTGACACTCCAGGCCCCTGCGCCGTGACCCCAGCCATCTGCTGCCGCTCCTGCAGCTGTGAGACACTCTCCTCGGGAGAAGCCTGCTCAGGTAACCCCCCACCTCCGCTCGCACCCTCAGATCCGATCGGACAGCTCCGAACGCCGCAGCCGGATGTAAACAAACAGGAACGTGTGAGTTTGTCAGCGTGACTCACGTGATAGGGATTCTCCGGGTTGAACTCTGCCTCCACGTCTTCGTAGTCCTCCCCCTCCTGCGCGGCTGCCTGGCGGCGCTGTCGGGGGGCAGCTCTCCTCTTCCTCCTACCGCCTGCACACATCACAGGCTCGGTTTCTGACAGCAGACCAGATTTAGGAGCGGAGTGGCACTAATGTGGCACAGCTCCTCGTTGCACAGTCCTCAGATGTTGGAAGTGTGTGTGTGTGTGGGGGGGGGGGGGTGCATTTTGCGAACTTTTGAACTCAAGGTGTGCTAAAAATCGCGCAGTCAGTTGCTTTAGACACTTCAAAAAGGACTTCTGCTTTTTTTACTCTCTTGCTGTAGATGAAACGTGATGTTAAATAGAAACACTTGAGACCATTTGACCCGTTTCATCTTGGTTTTTGGGTAAACACTGATTTGTTTTTTGTTTTTTTTTTTGCTTTGTTTTTTTCAACTGCAGCAGTTTGTGCAAAGGTTGAGGATTATAATTGTTGTCTTAATGCATCGCAAATAATAATTTTAGGTCTACAATAAACATTTTTAAAATGTATTGTTTAAGATTGTGGAGGTGTAGTTGAGACCTATTGTTCAAGTTGCTTTTCTTTCTTTTGAGGGATAGTGAGATTGAGATTCTGGCAACTGTTTTATGCCAGATGAGATGTCAAGTAACTAGGCCTACATGTTCTTCTCAAAAAATTAGCATTTTGTGATAAAGTTCATTATTTTCTGTAATGTACTGATAAACATTAAACTTTCATATATTTTAGATTCATTGCACACCAACTGAAGTAGTTCAAGTCTTTTATTGTTTTAATATTGATGATTTTGGAAAAAAAAAGGTAAAAAAACAACAACAAAAATCCCTATCTCAAAAAATTAGCATATTTCTTCCGACCAATAAAAGAAAAGTGTTTTTAATACAAAAAAAGTCAACCTTCAAATAATTATGTTCAGTTCTGCACTCAATACTTGGTCAGGAATCCTTTTGCAGAATTGACTGCTTCAATGCAGCGTGGCATGGAGGCAATCAGCCTGTGGCTCTGCTGAGGTGTTATGGAGGCCCAGGATGCTTTGATAGCGGCCTTAAGCTCATCCAGAGTGTTGGGTCTTGTGTCTCTCAACTTTCTCTTCACAATATCCCACAGATTCTCTCTGGGGTTCAGGTCAGGAGAGTTGGCAGGCCAATTGAGCCCAGTAATACCATGGTCAGTAAACCATTTACCAGTGGTTTTGGCCCTGTGAGCAGGTGCCAGGTCGTGCTGAAAAATGAAATCTTCATCTCCATAAAGCTTTTCAGCAGATGGAAGCATGAAGTGCTCCAAAATCTCCTGATAGCTGCATTGACCCTGGCCTTGATAAAACACAGTGGACCAACACCAGCAGCTGACATGAAACCACAGACCATCACTGACTGATAACTCTTCTTGTTGTGCAGCGTTTTCTGCCACACTTTTTCCTTCCCACAGACTTCCCACTGAGGTGCCTTGATACAGCACTCTGGGAACAGCCTATTGGTTCAGAAATGTCTTTCTGTGTCTTACCCTCTTGCTTGAGGGTGTCAGTGATGGCCTTCTGGACAGCAGTCAGGTCAGCAGTCTTACCCATGATTGTGGTTTTGAGTAATGAACCAGACTGGAAGTTTTTAAAAGCCTCAGGAATCATTTGCAGGTGTTTAGAGTTAATTTGTTGATTCACATGATTAGGTTAATAAGTCGTTTAGAGAATATTTTCATGATATGCTAATTTTTTGAGATAGGGATTTTTGGGTTTTCTTTACTTTTTTTGCCAAAATCATCAATATTAAAACAATAAAAGATTTGAACTTCTTCAGTTGGTGTGCAATGAATCTAAAATATATGAAAGTTTAATGTTTATCAGTACATTACAGAAAGTAATGAACTTTATCACAATATGCTAATTTTTGAGAAGGACCTGTAAGTACAAATACTTTGTTACTTAGTTTGTTAGAAATTTTGGTTATTTATACTTTAGTGGAGTAATTATTTTTCAGCCTATTTTCACTTCTAATCCTTACATTTTAATTAAATTATCTGTACTTTCTACTCCCTACTTTTTAAAAATGCAAAAAGTTTTTTTTATTTAACTTGGACTTGCTTTTATTACATCTTTTCATTGTTCAGAAAAAAACAACAGAAATCTATCCAGATACAAAGGAAGCCCTTGGATAGAGTGAATTTGATTGTGGTTGGATGAGAAGTGTAAATATAAACCATCCTGACATCCTATTAGACTGAATTCACTCCATCACACCTGTATGACACAAATCACATCACATTCCAGCAGGACAGACTGCAGCAGATGGAGCCTAGAATGAAGATGATCGAGGCTGAAACAACTAGTCTAGTCAGTTAATTCCAAAGTTTTCAACATTAACATTTTAATTTAACATTATATTCATTATTGACTTTACAAGAAAAAAAAAAGGGGGGGGGGGGGGGCACCCATGGTTCCCAAACTTTTCAGCTTTTGACCCACAACATACAGCAGCAGACACCTGTGCCCTCAGCTGTTGTCGGTTGATAAACATTGTTTTCACGTCAAATAAACAAGAGTATAGTAACATAATACACCATTTTTGTCTGTTTAAGTACACTAATCTTATTATTTTGTAAAAACAAAGGGAAAAAAGTTCTTAGTTGTCTTTTTTTTGTGTGTAATTAATTCAAAAAATATTTTTCAGGACCCCACCTTGATGTATCAGGACCCCACTGTGGGTCCCGACCCCAACTTTGGGAACCACTCCAGCCACCTTAATGGCTTTTTTTAAGTGTTCATTACTTTTACTTTTATACTTTAAGTAGTTTTAAAACCAGTACTTTTATACTTTACTTGAGTAAACAGCTTGAGTTGATACTTCTCCTTAAGTAATGAATGTGAATACCTTTGACACCTCTGACCAGATGGCCTTTCTCAAACAACCTGGGTTTGAACGTCCAGCCTCAGGATTATGAGGTGCTGCAGCTTCACATACTGTATAATTAGAGCTATAAAATTAATGAAGTTTATTAGTTTTGATTCCAGTTTTGGCTCTTAACTTCTCCCCGCCATGCTGCTGTCTCTCTCTGTGTGCGAGAAGCAGCAGGGTGCAGACACAGCTCCATTGCATTCTTAAAAACAACTTTCCTATAAGTTTTATGTTTAAAAAAATAATCTTTCACTCCCGAGAAATCCTACGTTTAGGATTTATTTTTTTATATGTGATCATATACGCACTGACAGACACATGATCACTTTGTAAACACATCACAGCCCTACCTAAAGTTTCCCACCCCAAACACTTACTGGTTGAGTAGGTTGGACGGAGCCAGAAGATTGGCAGGTCTCCACACAGGTCTTTGATCTTGTTGCTGAGGAAGGTGGAGTCGGACAGGGGCGCGCCAGCTGCCACCCAGATCAGATCGTCCTCAAATTTAGCTGGCATCACCTCATCCTCCTTTGGAGGCAAGAAAAGAGCAAATTTAACAAAACTAAGACATCTGTTCTCAGGTGTAAAGTAACTCCTGTTTCTGTGCCCTTGTTACTGCCCCCTTCAACCACCAGTTCAAGTCTAATCCTCATTTATGGTGCCCTGATAATGCTCCGTGTAAGGACATAAAATCAAGCCCTTGAGGCCCTCAGGGCTTCTGTATATAGATTTCCTTTGTGCTAACATTTAACTGCTTGCAGAGTGTCAGGACTCATCAGCATCTGAAGGAAAGAAAAGATTAAACGTCCTGATTCTCAGGGGGGGAAATGCTACCAAGGTTTCTGAAAAAGAGACACTGCAAACATGAATGTGCCGCATTCACAACCTGCAAGTAAAGCTGGGGACTCAGTCGGCCCTCAGGCGTTTCTTCCTGAGGGCCGCACTAACCAAAGCCATGTTGGGGAACCTTTCAGATATTACTCTTTTTATTTCTAGCTCCAACGATTTGCTGGAGGGACAAATAAAAGCACGGGGTCTATCTTTACTGCGCGGCTGACTGATAAGAGTTTATCTGACCCGCTCTCACCGGATGGAGGATGTGTGTGCGTGCGTGCGCGCACGTTTTTCCAACCCAGATTTGCCATCACTCTAAATTATAGCAAATGACCAGCCTGCAGCAACTATTATAACAACATCTTCATGTCTCCAAAATCACACACAGATAAACACACACACACATATATATATACACACACATACACAGACACACACAGTACAAATGATCATTTATGAGGCAAAGAGAGGCAATAACACAAACACACACAAGAGCACAAATGTGAAATAAATGATCGTTTATGAGGCAGACAGAGGCAATAAGAGCAGCCTTGCGTGATAATTAATTGTGTTGTTGTTGTGTGCACGTGGGAGTGTTTATGCACACGTCCGTTCATTTGTTCAGTTCTGCTGATGTGGATTTATGTGGATGTGAGGCTTACCCAGAACTAAATGATTTTAATTATCAGACGGCCTCAATTGAACAATCACATGCTGTGGTGTGTTTTGTGATAACAATCCTGGCATGTACACTTGGGTGTGTGTGTGTGTGTGTGTGTGTGTGTGTGTGTGTGTGTGTGTGTGTGTGTGTGTGTG